GCATCGATCCCCGGGTGTCCTTTTGTCAGAGAGACTCGCTGTCTTGATAATCCTTTCACTTGCTAATAATTGGAGGCTACCCGGTGACTTTGCGCCTGAATACTAGTACCCACACAGCATCGCCGTCGCGACGGCCTTGCGCGAATATCGAACGCGCTCAATTATATAAAAATGTTACTGGTGAGAATAATTGGCTGTGGAAGAGTTCTGTAACGAGGTGCGGGGCAGAGAGGGGAGCGGCAGGGAAATGCAGAGGGGAGGGAGGGGAGGGAGGGTGGCGGGGGCCATGCGGTCTCTGTGGCAGAGGAGGAGACGGCCGCGCTCGTTGCGGCCCCTCTCGCCGCCGCGGCTCCGCGTGCTCCGTGTTGGGTTTCTGTCGCCCGGGGAATGAGCCCTGGCCCGGACCTCTGACTCATGCCTTCCCTCAGCCTGGCTCCGAGCGCTCCCCGTGGCTCTGGTTTCCAACCACAATCCCCGACGTCCCCCTCCACCCCACCTCGCCTCACAAACTCCACCGCTCAAGACGTGATACGTGCTTGCGAATTTGCCTGATTTGTTTTATTCACGTGTGTTTTTTCACGACGCAGGATTCCGTAAAAAAAGTGTGTGTTGGCCGTGAACGAATTATAATAATCAGAATCTTTATTTCGCCTGAAGAAATCCGATGAGCTATTAAGATTTTTTTCACAGATGTCCAGTATGTTGGGCAGCTGTTTGAATAGTACGGTTGAAATGTCGACAAAGTGTTCCTTGCGCCTGATTTTTTTGTTATAATCAAGAAAATGTGGGTGATCTTTAACAGCACAAAACACAAGCATTCGAAATTACCACAAACAGGTTTTTTTTTTTTGGGGGGGGGGGGGTTAATTGAAAAAAACTTAAACTTCTTAGCCTCCTCGTTCCTTGCTCAACTCTTGCCAGGGGCCAGCTCTCAGAGCTGGGCTGGTTTTTAGGGTTTACTAAGATTCCCCTTCTGGGACAAAACTGCCACAAGTGCAACACTCGGCACTCTGCTTGAATCAGCAATGAAAGGTAACTGCACACTGCTACTGTTCCGCCCCGGTGTGTGAGGGGCAGGCCGACTTAAAAACATACCCCCGAGGTGGCGTTGGAGAATTTGCGGGGTCAATTGCGGGGATAATTTGGCCATAACTCCGGCAAAACAATGGCCTGCTTCAGCAAATATCATCCCTGGGGGGGTTGCGTGTGTTGGCGAGCGGGCATGGGACATGCAAGACTTGCCTCTCCCCCTGACACACGTGCACACGCACACGTGCACGCGCACATGACTCGCACCCACACGCACACACAGACAAAGATCCCTCCCTATAGCCTTAACAGATTTTTGGGGCAGCACCACGCCCATCTGCCTTTGTCTCCCTAGTGTGCGATGTTTACACACCGCACCAGGTACTCGTGCAAGGCTGAGTCTACCTAGGGATGGCCCAGGCCCAGTTTAGATAATCGCCATGGTATTTGGCTGTGAGCAGGAATCGAACTCAGGTCGCCGGGTTCCTTACGCAGCACGCTAACCGCTGTGCCACTTCCCCTCGCACACGCATACACAAAAGACAAAGATCCCCCGTATAGCCTTAACAAACTGTAGGGGCAAGTGCTGTTAGCGAGCAGCTATGAAGGCCGGAACGGTACACGAGGGGGTGGGTGGCCAGCACCACGCCCGACCGCCTTTGTCTCCCCAGTGGCGATGTTTACACACCACACCAGGTACTCATTTGAGGCTGAGTCGACCGAGGGGAGGCCCAGGACCGGTTCAGATAATCGTCATTGGTGTTGACCGTGAGCGAGAATCGAAACCAGGTCGCCGGGTTCATAGCGCAGCGTAGCGCTAACCGCTACACTACTGCTCCCCACACATGCATACACACACGGACACACATACACACACGCGCACACATACACACGTGCACAAATGTGAGCAGCAGTGGGTCGTGACAGCGGTGTAAACCAGCACTTGGCAAATCGCTACCCCCGCCTCTGCCTGTGCTGCCCATTTTAATATTTGTGAAAATTTAAGACGCTGCTCCTATTTTTTTGGTTGCTGATGAGCTGCATTTTTAGAACTGCTTGTTGTGTTTAGTTTGTTGCCCTTCCCCGCATATCCGATTTGCATAGTTGGCTGCGTATGGTGCGAAAGAAGTTCAACATACGTACGTAGTCTGTACCAAATACTTGAGCTGTTAGGTACGAACACTTTAACTGTATTTACCCGAACACCGCATGCTTGCATAAAACTTGCACAGTGGTAGCGCAATGTGCTAAGGGCGCAGCGACATTGGAGTTGATTCTCTGCCATGGCTGTGGTGAAGTGGTATTTGTGGCAAGGCCCTCTTCCAACAGCGGTTTTACAAATCTATTCCTTCACCTTACTCTTGACAGCGTTGTAAGCGCTACTTACTGAAGCAACTTTATTCACCGTCGCTGAAAACCTGATTTTGTATTTCTTGAATATGCTTTTAGCAATGGCACTGATACGCTCTACGTCTACTTCTATGCATTCGCTGTGTATCCATTTCCTTCCCGACTACTTCCAACTCGTTTTGCCAAATCTGCGGTAAGCGGTCATGCAGATCGGCACTTTGCTCCGCGAGCCCACGGCGTGGATCAGCGCGGCTGGCTGACCCAATCCCCCCCCCATTCCGCCTTCGGGTTGTTTTCCGCGGAAACCCGACAAAGACATTTTTGCGTCACGCAAACACGGCGAGTGGAGGCGGCGGCGGCGGCAGTAGCGGCGCTACACAGGGCACCAGTGGCTCGTCAAAACGAGTTCGCCGCGCAGGTGCTGCTGCTGCACCACTCGCCGGCGCCACCGCCCCCCCCCCTCCACCTAGAAGAAGACAAAGAAGCGGTCGCGTGAACGGCCACGTCGCGGTTCTCGAGTTCCGATTGGTCGCGACCGTCTACGGACCGCGAACCTCTCCCGAACATCGCCCCCCCCCCCAGCGCGCGTCTCAAGTTCGCGCTGCGTTGTGCGAAGCCGCCAGCCTCCTCTCCCGGCAGTGGCGTCTGGACGGGAGTTAGATTTTATCAGTGGCTCAAGTCTGATTACATCACCCCCCCTCTCTCCTAGCAAAGTCAACAAACGTGCGTGTTGTGATCAACTTAGGCGTGCTTCTCTCCTGCTTCGGAGGGTGGAGAGAGAAAAAAAATATTTGACACTGGCAAAGTTAACAGAAAAACGGCGTGGGTCTCAAAGCTTGTTTGATTGCGCGTCTCCCCCGCCTGAAGAGTTTTTTTTTAATTGAAACGGCGAGAGCTTAGTACGATGACGATGGCGGCGAGAGAGAGAGCGAGCGAGAGGCGGTTTGTTCTGGGAGAGAGAGCTCAGAGTGATCGAGTGAATTATCGTTTCATTCGCGAATTGCACGCCTCTAATTGCGTCTTTTGCTCGTCGCTTGATTTCCCTCCACCACCACCCCCACCGCCAAAAGAAACAACCCGCAATCGCAACATTTAATGGAAGAATTTAGAGCATCCGCGGATTTATTTTGGCCGGCGTTTAGGCGGAGGGGCGCATCTGGCCGGCGAAACGTGAGCCTGCGAGTCTTCTTGGGCAATCCATCAAACCGGCGCTCCTGGAAGGTGTCTCGCAGGAATCGTGCCGCTCTATCCGGCTCTCGCGCTAGCTGTGCGGTTACGCAGCCGGGGCAGCCCTGTGCCTATCCAGGGGCAAACAAAAAAAACCTGGGGTGGAATGGACACGGGGGGGGCAGGGGCGGGGATGCCGCAGTGGTGAGATGTGAACTTCCTCGCCTGGTATGCAAGAGTCATGGGTTCTCTCCGGACCCTGACACGCCTGCGGTATATTTGTAGTTTGCATGTCTCTTTGCCCCTGGTCGCGTGGATTTTTCTCCGGGTCCTCGACATTTAGCATCGATGGTCGTTTACAGTATTTGGCTGCTATAAATTTCCAAGTGATAAGCAGCTTCGTGGAGCTATCATTTGTGAAAGCCAAGTCGCTTCTGGAAAAGAGCTTCATAGCTCAGTGGGCCTTTCCTGGCAAAATTAAAATAAAAAGGTTTTTGTTATGCTTTATAAGAGAGTGGGTACAGCGGACGGAGGGCAGTGTGTGACGCGAGTGAATAGCGCGCACCACCTGGTGTCGGAGAATGTCCCTGGAAGATGATGTCAGGCCTGCTTCTAAAAAGTCAATCGCATGTTGCACCTTTGTCCACTCCGACCGTTTACATTCCCTGCGGAAGGTGTGTTTGTCGTACGTCGATCATCAGACGTCGCCTCCGAGTAGCGCGCTCGGCTACGTACGGTGCGAAACCGTGAATCGGTAGAAGGGAGACTCGGGACCGGTTCAGATGATCACTCGAACCTGTGTCGCCGAGTTAATAGCCCATCCCCAGCAGCACCCACGCATTAATGAACGTTGCGACGCTTTCCCAATAGATGCGGGATTGTGATGTCAGCTGATGGGTGTATTGGTGCCCTATGGCCCTCTGTCCTGATGAAATTATGAATAAATCGTCTGCTCGGTGAAGACCAATTCCAATAAAGAATAATAATCTCACTCCGCCTCTGTCACGCCTATGATAGCTCTGCAGTCCTGTTCATTTGCCACCTTGATAAATAATGTGTTTCTGCATAACAAGGTTCATTAATAATTGAAAAGGGGATTAATAATTAATGTGAAATGAAACCTGCAGTATTTTGTCAGGGATCATAATAAAGGTGGGACATAAGTAAAGAGTGCGATACCCTTAATCGGAACTCTAGCGGAGGATAATGTAGTACCGGATGCATAACATTAACTGCCATTGTAACAAACTAAAAGTGTGATTTGAAATCGGTTTATCATGTGCAATAACAAAGATACACGCAAGAAAGTATTCGTTCAGCATTGGTGTACTCGGTGTGTAATTCTGTTCATATGTCGCGTTCATGTTGGAGGTGAAGCATTTTCAATCCGTGCCTGGGTGAACTCGGCCCAATTATAGATCATCGTTATTATTTCGTTCCTCATCATCGTTATCATGGCCATCAGGTTGATCACCATCTGTAAAGTGAGCATTCTTTAGTGAGTAATGCAACAATGATTAGACTGTGGAGATGCTGGTCACCACCATAGGCACGTGGAATTTCAACCGACAAGAGATGAGCACCGCCAATTGCCCATCGTCTCTTGAGCGCGCACGGTGACTTTGTAACGTCATTGGCAGTGGCGGGGGGGGTGGTGGGGGGTGAGAAATGTGTTCCGTGTGTGACTTGATCGCTAATTCGGCTGTGTCCTCTGTGTGCGTGTGTCTCTGCGTCTGCTCTGTAGTCCAACAAGGTTCCAGTGGTACAGTCTCCGCACCACGTCCACCCCCTGGCACCCATCCTCACCTATGGCGGGGAGCGCTTTGTGCCGGGCACGCCGCCACCCATCCCTACCGAGGTGGACCCCAAGACCGGTAAGTTCAGCGCTCGCCGCCGACGCCGTAGAAACCGGGCGGGGCGGGGGGGACTGGGTCGGCGAAGGCCGCGGTTGGGGGTCGGTCGAGGGCCCACGTGACGCCCGCGACCCCCGTTCACAAACTCGGCCGCCAGTGTCAGTGCTTCCAGCATCGTCGTCGCCCTCGCACGTGCTCGCCGTACCCAGGGTCACCCTTGCCAATGAGTTAAACTAAACTAAACCAATGATCTTTTGAGCTCCCACCTGGTTAAACAAATAAACTGGACTTGTGTTCGCCATTTATGTCCTGGTGTTCAATGCGGGTCCTACGGATAGACTTGCCCGTGCCATACGAATATGGAATTGGCACCAACGGCTCAGTGCTGTGACAAGGAGGTGAGCGCTACCCTGTGTTCGTGCAAGCGGGGAAAACATTTTAACGTCTGACTTTGTCTTGAAATTTTTGCTAAACGATCCACCTCCCTCCTTCGCCTCGTGATTTGATGACTATGAACGATTTAGCAGTCATGCAGTTCCATTGGGGAATCGGTACGGCACCTTTAGTGGCTGCAGGGGTCACGTGAACCCATGTAAAACAAACTAATTTCTAACCTCGCAAATGAACTAAAAGCGCTGTCGTCGGATCTCACGCACACAATTCCATTCATCGCGAGTATAACAATCGACATTTATTTTTTAAATCGCATTTTACGACGTGTGGTACATTCCATCAATAAACACGGCCCGACGTTACAGAGCTTTGTGGTGCGATGCCACACGATTGGCTGAACAAATCTTAATGTATGCACGTAAGCGAGGGGGTGGGCAAAGGTGGGGGGGGTAGTGGGCTGACACGTGGGAGGACAAGGAGCTGCTCATGTTGGCATGGTGCGGGTGATAAAAATCGAATGTCATTCAATAAACCTGTCGTAGCGTCGTCGGCTGCGTCCAGCGGAATTTCTTTCTTTTAGACCCGTCTCACCACATCGCGATGCGCCCGGCCAATGGTTTGCCGCGTCGGCACAAAAAAACAACTGCTGCTGATGCTCCAAAAAGCTTTTGTTTATGGGGGAGGGGGGGGGTATGTGTGCCTAACCTCGTCACGACCTGCACCCCCTTGCACACCGACGACGAGGACGGGCCCTGGGTTTCCTCCCGTTTGTGTTTTTGCGGCCACCTTTTGTTCGTCGGTTTTCTTTGCGCCGTCGCCGCTGTCCCCTTTGTCTCGGAGCTGGAGAACAAACAACGGCCGTGCAGACGTTGGGCGCGAATGCGGAATCGGAATATTTATTTCTGTTGGAGGGATCCGCTGAGCTGTGAAGCTCTTTTTACCACGTAGGCTTTCGCGACCAATATCATCCACCACCTGACACAGACGGTCATGTGAACGTGACGAACCTTACTAGTCGGGTGGTGGCGGGTTTAACGACAAATGTATATTTACGTGATCTAACTCAACAAAAACCTCATGTATAAAGTTATTTTTCGCAGACGTCCCAATGCGCGTACACGCGCACACGTGCGCGTGTACGCGCACCGCTTGCTCGGTGGGGGGGGTAATACGAGTAAACGCGAGTGCTTGGCGTGCGGTCTGCGTGGCCTGGCGGGTGGTAGCAGCGTAGACCGAGGTCTACACCAAGCGGCTCAGTGGTCCAGCGAACGGCTCGCAATCAGAAGGTCGAGTTCAAATTGCAGCTCCCCGGAGGGGGCGGTTGACTCAGCCTATCATCCCCTCCAGGGGTCGGTACAATGAGCAACACTTTGTTGGGAAGTCAACAGTGGTTGATTTATCGATGTTAAACGAAACTAAACCATATTTGTTTAATCCGGTAAGGCCCCCACCGAGCCATTACAGCGCTCTGTTGGAAGCAAGCTGGCAACAAATGGTCGCTCAACGAAGTGGCTTATCACGTGGACACGTGATAAGGCAAATACTCTAAAACGCGTGTTTCACCACTGCAGTGCGTCCTGATAAGTGACGTCGAACAATGGATTTTGCTGCACTTACCTCTGCAGCCCACAACGTAGACCCTCAGCCGCAGCCTATAACACTCTGTTATAGGCACGGCGGTCGTCCATCCAAGCGTTATCCGGTCTGAAACCTGCTTAGCTTATCGCGGAATTTGTGTTAATCAAGCGCAAACCCAGTTTACCTCCAAAACCTCGCCCCTCCCAAACTCTCCACTGCCCCCCACCCCTCCCTCCAACCGGCCCTGTGCTCCGCCGTCTTGCTCCTCCAGACGTGACTTAGAAGCGACTCGGCACGCGGGATTCAATCACCGCAGAAGCACGCGGGGAAGGAAGCGAACAAAACTACATTGTTTCGGAACAACATCTGTTTTCTATAGTTGTTGTTGTTCAACACAGCTATTAAATCAGTACAACAAATCTCTCAAGAACACATCGCTCGTAGCGTAGCGAAAAAATGCGAAATTTTAGTTTTGTTTCATTTTACACACTCGCATTCGTTTCTAATGCTTCAGTCGCTGGTTCGGAACCGGTCGGTCCCCGATAAAAAGTCCAGCGAGCAGCGCGTGAGCAAAGGCGACGTTGTAGAGCCACCGGCGTAGCAGCGTGCGCTTGCGCGTCAGCTGGCAGTGGGGGCAATTGGCCGATGCCTTGGGCGAATGCAAAGCACTTTAAGTTTTTTTTTATGGCCAGAGGAGGCAATTCGGGCCACGTGCCACCGCAACGGTAAAGCACTAAAGCCACGTGGACTTTGTGCTCCATTCGCCAAATACAATTGTGCACGTGCGCATATATACACAAAAGGAAAGATCCCCCACCCCCGTGTAGCCTTTAACGGACAGTTGGGGGCAGGTGCTGTTTGTCGAGCACCTATTAAGGCCAGTGTGGCACACGAGAGGGGCAGTTGCTGATTGTCGAGCACCTATTAAGGCCAGTGTGGCACACGAGAGGGGGCGGGTGGCCAGCACCACGCCCGGGCGCCTTGGCCTCCCGAGTGAAGATGTTTACACATCGCACCAGGTACTCACTTGAGGCTGAGTCGACCTAGCAGGGGCCCAGGACTGGTTCAGATAATCGTCACTGGTGTAGGCCATGAGCGATAATCGAATGCGGGTTGCCAGGTTTGTAGTGCAGCACGTTAACCGCTACACAACCGCTTATCACTTGTACAAACACATACAAGCAGTGCATTTTCTTGCAGCGTGCCAGTATAAGTAACAATTAATATACAGTACTTTATCAGTTTACTGCTGGATAAAGTCCTTGCTGCGCCATATTGGGCATGGCGGTTGTTTTATCATACTTCACCATGCCGGTCAGCACAAGCTGGTATATGGGGATGCCCAGGACCGGTCCAGGTATCGCTCACCACTTGATGTTAGCTGTGGCCTGGGAACCTTAACACAACATCCTCCCGCGTTCATAGCACAGCGCGCTAACCACCGTGCCACCACTCCGCCCCTTGTCGTGTGTGCGTCAACTTCTCCTCGTGACGGACAAGACGACGTTCGTGTTTTCTTCTCTCCTTCACGCCAGCGTTGCGTGGCAAGGTCACCGAAGCGTTTCGAATGCAGCAGGTGCAGCAACCAACATTTCGAAGGGCAGAGACACGTCTGCCCGCCGTAGTCTCGTGCGCAGCAGTCAGATTTCACCATTCGACCTCAACGTCTCATTTGTATGAACCTTGACCCCGCGATCACCCCAACCCGATGGTGGAAGGACCGCCCAATGGGGCACGCAGAGGCCAGCGGGCGTTTAAAGGCTCCAAATCTGTCCTCCGGTCTCATCTGGGTCGTCAAAACGATCGCGAGTCTGACATTGCGGATATATGTGTCTTAATTTTTTTGCGCGAGCGAGTAAAATACCATCTGAAACGAGGGCTGGGGGGCGGGGGGAGGTGGTGGCGGGGCGGGGGGTGATAAAAAAAAGTGAAGAAGATGAAAAAAAATAGTCGTGGAGAGATGAATGGACGCGAAGATGTAAGAACAGATACACGTGGAGATGAATTGCGGCGGATGTGCAGGTAGCCCGACGCATTTGAAGAGGTGCGCGGAATAAATGAGCGGGAAACCCAGCTGGGGATCCAGCCAACATAACCGTCTGCGAGCTCGCGTAATTGGCACCGTTGTGAGCGGACAAAAAGCGTCTCCCCCATGGTCCGTGAGCGCGGCATCGACTAAGTGTACGGCTCTATTCCGAGGGATGGTGCTGGAGCGAAAAAAAGAAGGGAAAAAAAACCCTGTGGAAACTCAGAGCAACGCTCTCTCCTCCCCCCTCCGCCCGTACGCTCGCGCTTGCGCCCATGCTGTACCCCCTCCGCGCGAGCCGGTTAGTCTGGCCCAGCGCCCACTTCTCAAAAAACCACGGCGCTTGGCAAATAGAGTGGAACCTGGCGAATGTCCATCGGTCGTTTCTGAATAATAATATATTTTTTCACACGCCGTTTTTCGTTTCGTGCCGCACCTGTGTTATAATGTGCTCCGTGACGTTGGTACAATATTTACGGCGTGGTGAAATGGAGAATCGTTCTTTATTTGAGCCCTGCCGGCCGAGGTGAATGTTTTCCTTTTAACATTTTAGCATTGGTCCACCTAAGCGTAGCCGTTTAGCCGGGCAATTCGCACTCGCAGAGAATCATTTGTTGATTGGAATTATCATTAGGAGGAGGTGTTCGTAGCATGCACGCACCCACGCACCCACGCACGCACATGCTTTCAGTTGACTCGTGCAACTTGTCCAAAGTCCAAATCACGGCGCTGTCGGCCGCGGTTTGAAAGGCACTGCTGAAATCGCCGCTTCGTTTCGGGGGAGATTTATTAACCGCTCCCTCGCATTTAAGCCCCTTTTTGTGTCAGGGTTTTAGTCGGCGCTCAATGATTGACGTGGCTGATATTTGATGCCCGTGCATTCGTACTCGTAAATTAATCGGCGAGGTCGCGCACATTCACGGCTTTCTAAGAAAAACGTAAAAGGAGTCTGATGTTCTTCGGCGAGCCTCGCCTCCCGTGCGCATGAACTCTCTCATCCTCCCAACAGCGGTGCCGTGGCGCTGCCCGCTCGGCAGTCGAATCTCGTGTGGCGAGGACCTGGCGCGGTTTTCTTAAAACCCCCAGATGCGTCGTAAATGTCGTTTGTCTTGAATTGGACGAGCGCGGTGGCCCGGAAGGGGAAGGCTCGTTTGATGAGATTTACTCGGCGCAGATGGTGGGAAGAATTGGCAGGAGGGAGCTGGGATTTAGCAAATGCAGTCCGTGAGTGGTAATTGATAATGACGATGATAATGATGTTGAAGAGGAGAAGATGCTAATACCCCGGCGGTAGTGAAAGTGGTTCTGTCATTGTAGGCGATGCGTTGTCACTCCTGCTAACCGTTATATTTTGTACGCGTTTCAAATTACATTTAAAAGATTAAACGGTAAGTGGATAAAACAGTTTGCATGGACAAAACCGAACCCGAGCAACTCGAACTCTACGGCACACAGGAGTCTGCACCCTACTTGATGAGCTGTCCCACCCCCACCGAATGAGGAACCGGAGCGTGCATCCGGCAGAATTGTTCCCGCACGCCTCTCTCGTTCCGTCGATCGCTCGATGGAACGAGGAAGCAGAGTCGACGGCGCCCGGCGCTCGACTCTGCCGGCACGCTCCCCCGAGAGGCCGAGCTAACGGCTCGAGGAGACTCGAATTAATTAGCGTGCTTTGGGGATTCTCCGGCGCGACCCCCCCCCCCGGGGTGATTACCGCTGCACGAGGTCGCCCGCCAGTAAGTCGTAATTAAGACCCGTGTTTGCCGCTGAAGCGCCCGCGTGCAGATCGTGCATGGCAGCGCGGTGTCGGAGGCTTCTCGCGGTACGGTGGTAGTCTTGGTTAATCCACTTCTGGATGAGGGCCTCCCCCACACCGTGCCAGAGAGCCGCATACCCAGGGGGCCCCACGGAGTTACGTAGACCCACAGGACCTATCTGACCTTGTGTGATGTGCCGCCTGTAATAGGTACTCGCTAGCATCACACGGTGGATGCGTGTGTGTTTGTGTATTAGTATATGGGCGTGTATTGTGTGTATGAAATGTATGTGTTTTTAGATGGGATGTGTATAGTAGTTTGTGTGCATGTGTGTCTATATCTGTCTCTCTGTGCATGTCTATGTGTGTGTTAGTTTGTGTGGAGAGCAGCAGTGTCATGGTTAGCGCGCTGCGCTACGATTCCTGCTCACAGCCAACACCAGTGATGAGTATATGAACTGGTTCTGGGCCTCTCCTAGCTCGACTCGGCCTGAAGTTATTAGCTGGTAAGGTGTGTAAACGTCACCACTAGAGAGACAAAGGCGGTTCGGTGTGATGCTGGCCACCCAACCCATCGTGTGCCACAGTGCCGGCCTTCATAGGTGTTCGCTAACAGCACTTGCCCCAACAGTCTGTTAAGGCCATACGGGGGATGTTTGTGTTTTGTGCCTCCCTGGGGCACCGTGTATGACGTGCCGCTTTATTTGCCGTTTGCCAGGTTTGCCGCGGCCCAGCCACACGCCCGAGCTGTCACCGTACTACCCGCTCTCCCCCGGCGCCATGGGGCAGATCCCTCACCTGGGCTGGTGAGCACCGCACGCAACTCGCCAAACTCACACGCACGATCACTCACTCACACGCTCACCCGTTTACTCACGCGCATGCAACTCGCGCGCTCACTCAATCACGTGCTCACTCGCTCACTTACACCCGACTCACATGCTCAGTCAATCACGTGCTCACTCGCTGAATTACTCGCTCACAGCCATCTAACGTGCTCACTCAATCACACGTTCGCTCACTCACTCGCACACTGACATACTCGCTCAACTCGCACGCACTCACTCGCCCACTCACCAATTCAGTGACTCACCCTCACACTCATTCACTGCCACCCAATCCACCCACTCATTCCCCTCCAGTTGTGACGCACGCGCATCTCACTCTCGTCCTACCCTCGCCGCTCCCCAGGAATACAAACTCAACATCTGTCATCGGCAGCTGTGGTGATTAATGGTTTCGCTCGCTCGTTTGTGAAAACACGGATCTTGCTTTCCAAACCGCCGCTGGTAGATGCGTCGCTTGTAATTGATAGGCCTAATTGGAAACGTCGTTATCTAAAACATTTGCCGCCATGCGAAAATTAACGCCGGCGTTCGTGGCCGCGTTGCCACCGCGGTTGGGGATTTGGTCTAAAATGTAATTAATACGCGCGAGCAACAATAAATTGGAGCACACTGTTACTCCGTAACTGTCCGATGACTAATGGCGCGTAATGGGCTACTCGACGTTTATACCATGCATGACGTTCACATTTCGTCACCGCATTTGCGACTGACGCTAAGAGCCGGCGTTTAAGAAAAACAGTTTTTGTTTACTGCATTATTAACCTTGCACGAGGGTCGTAATCGTTTGAGCGTAATGTCTTTTTTTTCCGATTGCTTACATTGGTATGGGATAATATGATTAAAAAAATATTGTGTTTATTGCACGAGACCTTTTACGTTTTAACGTCTCGTTATTTTAGCCGTTTTTATGCCGCGATGTGTGACATTAAATGCTGCGAATTAGCCCCCTAATTGAGCACGTGAAATTTTTACGCATGGGCTTTTTGCGAATAACGTAAACGATTCCCTTATTAATTTTTTGGGTCAGGATCGCCACTTGACCTAAAATTCCGATGCGTGTGTGATACTCTCCTGCAGCCAACACAGCCAATTTAAATTAAGTCGCCACGTGAACAAATGCGCCGGTTTTACTTCTTTCCGCCATCGGAGAGCGATCCACACACGTTAAACAAATCTTGTCTGACGTTTCGCTGGCCGTTACAACCAGCATCATGAGGCGAATGCCGGAATTGCGGGACACTTCGTGGGCCTTCTGTAGGCGGTGTGATGTTTCAGAGTGATGCCCATGTATTCGCAAACGATTGCGATGTGTTGCATTAGCTTGCAATAAATTACGTCAGCCATGTCGACGTGAAGATACGTGTGCGTATATAGTTACGTGGCGACCAGGCTAGTCACAGTTAATTAATTATATACTCGTTAACGATCCTGGACAGTACTGTTGTCATAATATTAAGTGACAAAAATATGTAATGTATTTTACGTCCTGTATTAATGGGGCCATCAAATAAACAAGAAATGCATTCATACTCTTTGGTTTTCTTCGGTAAAGTCACGTAACTTTACCGAATAATATTCATACTCTTTGGTTTTACCGAATAAAACCAAAGAGTATGAATCCTTGCAGTCACGAAAGCTTCAAATCTAGAAGAAATGTATTACTACAAATACATTAGTTAAAGGCAGCAAAAATAAAACGTAACATATTATCAGAGTGCAATAAGAAATAATCATGCCATAATAATGATGAACGTAATAAAAAATACACCTGTTTAAGACATGATTTAGCCATTTGCAAGAAAATAATTGCGTGCGTTTGCGAGCAAGCGAAAGAGTCCCGTGTATCGTTAACGTACTTGGCCTGCGCTTCTAACGTCACTGCAGGGACCTACCCGGGGGGGGGGGGGGCGGGTTCCGAACGTTCGGACGATGATTTTTTTTGTTTTTCCCGCACCGCGTTTCACCTTCATCCACATGAAGAAGAAAAACATTAACGATACTTAACGAGCCTTGCGGATGTGCGCCGTGGCAGCAGCATCGGAGTTACCGTCGCGTTCTCTGTCCATTGGCCCCGACGAACGCGTGCCAATATGCGGCGATTTCTGCCAATTGGGGGCCATTAGCGTTCCGTTAGTGTGCCGTTAGCGTGCCGTTAGCGTGCCGTTAGCGTGCCGTTAGTGTGCCGTTAGCGTGCCGTTAGCGTGCCGTTAGTGCACCGTGAGCTGATACCCGCTGCTGCCTCGCGATGATTCGCTTCCGCTAATAGATTCAGAGATTCAGGTCTCTGGTGGGATTAAGCAAATTTAGGAAAATTTAATTATCCGGTTGTGACATTTGATTTTTTTATTTAAATTGCCGGTTATTTGCATACTTTGATCTTATAACAGATTGTAACGCCCTCCCAGTAGGTGGTGATTATGCTTCCAGCTGCTGAGCCCACAGCTGACACCTGACATGCCCTCCCCTGCTGTCCGTCTGTCCGTTCCGCTTTCCCCTCATATGCATCGAGCGCACGTATATATTACGCGACCCATCCATTGTATGTGTGTGCGATGTAGCAACGAGGCTGCAAGGTTATTAAGAGTAGCGGTAATGGCAATTCAACTTAACCGGGAGTAGGTTTTCACAGACAGCATCATGATTGATGATCGATTTCTGTGTTTGGCTAACATAACGAATCTGGTCAAGTTTTTGTGTCGTCAGGAGCCTTCACTACCTAACACAGCCAAACAAATTAAATTGTCGAATCCCGTGCTAACTTTACCTGTGAGATGAAACGATAGTAATTGCCGAGTTATTAAACGCTCGTGCACCACGTGACAAATATATGTTTATGAAAAATAAGAGTAGGTTCTCCCCTTTCTGGCAATAAAACTGGTGTAAAGACTATTAAACATCAAATTAATACCTGTTGCAAAGCATTACGTCTACATTCCCCACACGTACTTGTGGTGAACATTCAAACAAACATGCTCTGATAATATATGCATTGTTGTTGAAACTGATTTGGCCTACACCAGATTAATTTCCTTTGCCACGTTGGGTGGTGGAGGGCCTTGCTGACACACAATTATCCAGATCAATTACGTTGCTCTAATCCACAAATCTAACTTTGAAAAATAACGTCATTTTATTTGCCCAGGGAAGCATCGCCAAGTACCAAGGCTCTTTATTTTTCAGGCGGGTCCCAACTACGTTGCGAACCCCTGCTACTTTATGTATAAAACCGATGACATGAGTTCATTTCCTGGTTACGGCTAGCATCGGTGGCGAGCGATATCCAAGCTGGTTCTGTAGGCCCTCTCTGCCCTTCGCCCCAAGTCCGTGCTGGGCCACCGCTATGAAGTACAATCAAATGGGGCCACCCTTGACCACGGGTCGGCAACCTGCGGCTCTTTGAAGCACCGCTTCGTCACGTTGTTTATTATGGACTGCCCTCCCGTATTCACATGCGTTGGGGGCACTTGAAATATCGAGTTAGTTTTTTTAATTCACAAAATTCGGAAAAAATCGCCCCCTTGTTTTTGGTTTGCCGACCCCTGCCCATGACCCAATATGGCGTGGGGAGGAAGATTTCATCCAGCAGTGGATTGACAAAGGGTTGTGCGTTGTCGTAGCGCAAGGGTTGGGGGCAAGTGCAGTGAGGCAGGTCAGATGCAATGGTCATGAGTAATCCCCACCCATGCCACTCGGGTTCTATTCCTCGTGATTAATACACGAACATCGCCTAGGCCGGGGCTACCTGTAGGTTGATTCTGCTATAAAATCTTTTCCTGCTGCAAAAAGTCGATATGACGATGTTACTGCTCGAGAGATGGAGGTAGCCTTTCACTCGTGGCGCTCGCAACAGTTTTGCTTTTCTCTTGCTTGCTGACCTTAATAGGTGCTTGCTAACGGTTTGTTCTTTCACCAGCTGTCAATGCTAAATAAACCGGAGGCCCTCGTATTTTTAAACACGCAGCACACGCGCACGTGCATGCGTGTATTTACGTTGATGTGGGGAGCAGCGTCGCAGCGCTTAGCGCTCTACGCTGGAGAGCCCGTTCACCCGACTTAAATTCCCCACTCAACGTCTAACACCAGCGACATTTATCTGAACCGGTCTTATGCCTCTCCTACGTCAACACGGCCTGAGAAAATGTCAGCATTGGGGTGACAAAGGCGATCGGTCGTGGTGCTGGCAATCCACCCCATCGTGTGCTGGCCTTCATAGGTGCTCGCAGAAGGAAGTTTCCCCAACAATCTGTTAAAATCTGTTAAAGGCTTACTGGGGATCTTTGTCTTTATTCACATTGAGCTGTGGCTCGGTGGTTAGCGCACCACACCATACCCCCACTCAGTGACCTGCGTGTGGGTTCCCAGTTAACATTGGAGGCGAGTAATCTTTCAATTCGGCCTCCTATAGGTCAACTCAGCCTTAAATAAGTACTCGATACGATGTGTAGACAGCATGATGCGAGTGTGGAGCTGGCTACAACTTCCCCTCTCACACTGTAATTGGCTTGAATAGGTGCTCGCTAACAACACTTGCCCCAACAATTTTTCTAGGTTACACGGGGGCGGTGGGGGATCTTTATCTACATGCAGACATTTTTGTTATTGACATTAACCCCTACTCTCTCCGCTGTCCGTCTGACCCTGGCTCTACAGGCAGGGGCAGCCCCTCTACCCCCTGGCTGGGGGCTTCCGCCCCCCCTACCCCACCGCGCTCGTCAATTCTTCCATGTCCAGGTGAGACGCTCCTCGCTATCGAACCAGCGGCAGTGCGTTGTAGCCACCGGACCACCGTCCCCCGTACGATTGTGACAAAAGAGGCACATGCACGTGCGCGCAGATCGATGCGCGGACACGCCTCCGCGTGCTAGCGTGTGCGGATCCGTACCCAGGTAGTGTCACGCGTGCGTAAGATGCCTCTGCTTCGGGGAAACAGGCACAGCAAATAGGTCGCGTGTCTTAATGCCGCAGCAGCGCCATGCTTGGGTACTTGTGTGTGCCCAACCCTCCAGTCGGCTTCCAACTATAAGCTTCTAATTGGTCAAAACATTTCGGGGGCAGGGACCTCTTGAGATTGAACCTTGAAGTACCCGTTGACACCTGCAAGAGAATAGTTTTAATTGTTAAAACTGGAGCTGGGCTTCGGCGGACACAGGCAAGGAGGGGGACGAGGCAGCGAGAGAGGGAGGCAGGGAATAATTGAATTGACCACACACAACGCAGGAGAAGACGACGACGATGATGGAAGAGTGGAAGAGTGGAGGGAGAGCGGCGGGGGAGGGTGCACCTCGCCGCATCGCGGAGCTGAAATTGGCAAATTCGGCTAAATCGGCCCGCACAGTGGCGTGTGCTGCGAGAGGCAGTGAGTAAAACCCCCGATAATGCTCGTGGATAAGAGCCGCACATGAGTGGCTTGCGGGATTTACTACCCAGGTCTCCCAGGCCCCGTGTTTATGGGCTCAGGCTTGTTTTTGTCACGCCAGACGCCTCTCACTTCTCCGTCAGGCTCGATAATAATAATGATAATCCGTGGAAACGGCTAAAGCATCGCCCGGTAGTTGTTAATATTAAATAAATAAAAACATGTCCTTGGAGTATTACGGATTATTTCACCTTCCAGTGATCAAACATATTTACACCGTCACAGAGCAAGTAGCTGTCTTATTGTTTTGTTATAACGTTACGGAATTCTTATGTTGGTTTATGAGACTTTACCACGCACACTTGAGGGGCATATCTCCTCATTGTCTTCGCCAATGTATGCCATTTATGGGAAATGTAAGAATTTCCCAAGTTATATATTTTTTGAAATTATTAACGGTGACGTTTTTGCAATCTGGAAGAAAAAATTACGGGAGCATACATGTTCATCCACGTACAAAGCATTAAACTTTAATTTGAATATTTATTTGAATTTGAATATTTATTTAGACTTGAGGAATCCGATGAGCTATGAAGCTCTTTTTCACAGATGTCCAGTAGGGTAAAGATGATAAACGGTGGGTAAAGGCACAGCCCTGAAATTGCCTGCTCACACTGCTGCTGCCAGAAGGAACGCTCCACAAGAAGCAGCTCTTGAAAGCACCTCTCTCTTGAGGATATCTCGGCCTACTCTTTCACTCATAAAATTACAAATCTTATCTCAACGTAAAAAAAATGCGAGCTGAAAATAAATCTATTCAACGTCAAATACCGATGACATTATTTAAAAAAAAACACACACACACTTGGACTTCACCGGGTATGACCAGTGCTTCCGCAGATTTCTCCCCATTGTCGCATTAGTAACGGCAAGCGGGCCGTTATAATGAAGGCTGGCCCTGGGGTGCGATGGCCCCCCTTGCGTTGCGATTGTTCAGCATGTCCCCCGGCGTTCGGGATACCTGCGCCATTTGCATCATCGACGTGCAGCTAGCGCACATGCGCGCACGCACGCTCGTTCTCCCGCTCGCCAGCGCAGGATGAATAATCCATGGCCCGCTCGGGGCTATTCCCAGCGCCGCCGTCGCCCTCGGGCGCTTGAGCGGCTCACTCGCCGCTCATCCGCAGATAACCGCGCAAAAACTTGCGCGCAGCTGCCTCATCCTGTTTGTTAGGAACTCCAGCAGGTAATTTGCACGGGGAACTGGAAGAGGCGTCGCAGACGAACGAGAGAGAGAGAGAGAGAAAAAAAGCCATCGGTGGCGGTGTCCATGTGGGTAAATGGCAAAGATTTGTGTAGCCGGCTTCTCGGGCGCGCCGTTTGTAGTGCTAACCATGACAGTAATTAGCATGAGGTCAGGCCGAGGGATCCCCCAAGTGGCACGCTGCTGAATATTTGATAAAGCTGCGTAATTAATTTTGAATGAATCGTTTGACAATAAACTCCGTGCTGCCGCCACGGAAAGCTGCTGAGAGGGAGTTTGCTTGGGGAGGGGAGGGGAAATAAAAATATATAATAAATAATTTTTGGAGAGTGAATTGATGTCACCATGATGTTACCTTGGGAATTTGGCCAGAGCCGTCTCAAACTTTAGTTGAAGATTTGAGCCAAATAGCCTCATTTTATCCCCGAAACTGCCACTCAACAATTTTCTTCAATAATTATTTACGTTTTAAATATATATGCAACCTTTTCTTGATTGTAACCCACCCACATCAATGCAATGTTTTTGGCTTGCGATTTATTTTTGTTGTCATGTGTTCTCGAATGGTGCTTACTTTCTATGGTTGTTGTATTATTCGCTAAGTGTACCTATGGACATGCTCGCGTGCTGAGTGGAGGTGGCCACCTGGTGTTTGTGTTGGTGTGCTCCTGTGAGTGTGCATGCCGCTGTGTGTACGTACATCTGATATGCCTCGTGTACGCTGAGACCTGTGTGTACCGTGTGCATCTGGCCGCGTGTGTGCGCATCTGCGTTTCTGTGCCCGCGCATATTTGTACCTCTGCGCATATTTGTACCTCTGCGTGTGTGTGTGCCTGCATGTGTGTGTGGGGAGCGGTAGCACAGCGCTTTACACCATGCGCTACGAACCCGGTGACCTGGGTTCAATTCCCACTCGTGAACTGTACTTGAGCCTCCCTCCCCCCAGGTTGATTCAGCCTCAATGAGTAGTGTGGTGTGATGTTGAAAAATCAGCACTAAGGGAGTGAGAGAGCCGGCCAGGCGTAGTGCTGGCCGCCCAACCTCTCTTGTGCTGCGCTGACCTTAATAGGTGCTCACTCACAGTACTTGCCGCAAAAGTCAGAGGCTATACGGAGGATCTTTGCTTTTGTGTGTGTTTGCTGCCGTTTGTCTCCATGCACGTGCGTTTTTGTCTTTGCACGTGTGTGTACGTGTCTGTCACAAGCACATTTTTTTCTTGTGCTTGTGTTGCTTGCTCCCGTTCGCTTGCACCAGCGTGCGCGAAGTTCACCAATGCTCCCTCCCACCCTGCCCCCCCCCTCCAGCTTCCTGTCGGGCCGGTACCCGCCCCACATGGTGCACCCGTCACACGGCCTGCCACCCACCGGCATCCCGCACCCGGCCATCGTCACGCCGCCCGTCAAACAGGAGGCTCACAGCGGCGCCAACGGCTCGGAGCACCAGTAGGCATCGCGATCCCCACGCGGGGGGGGGTGGTCACGGGCACCGCACTCGCGCTCATGCTCGGCGCCACGCTCCCTACTTCGGAGGAGTTGTGTTCGGCTCTGGGATCCCCCGCGTACTCGGAGCTTCATTTCCACCCGATTTTTTGAGCTGGGTCAGCGACCCTGGAAAATATTTCCTCACCAGGCACACCAAATCCGTTATGCCTCTTCCCTCTGGCTGTGGCTACCGAGTCACGTGCCCACCTACTTGCGGCCTTGCAAGCTACGCGGAAAATATCCTAGAGAGACCTGAAGCCCTGAGCCTCCTCGTATAGCTGTGGTGGGGAAGCCTCCAAGCCGCGGACGGTGTACCCACCCACGAGGCCTACCACCACAAAGCAGGCTGAAAACGATATCCGTCGCTGCGGAGGGGAGTATTTTTTGACCTGGCAGTGCTGTGTTGCTAATTTTAGCGGTGCTCAGTCCAATGCGTGATCAAATTTAGTGGCAACTCAAGTGTGGCACGCCAAAGGTATTTTGAAAGTCCTATTTCGGGGATTGTTTGACCATACTTCACCACGCGGGTCAGTACAGGGTAAGTGAAGGTAGGGTGCCACCCAGGACCAATTCGAGTATCACTCGCCACCGATATTAGCCGTAATTCAGAATCGAACTTGTGCATGCCGGGTTTGTCGCGCGGTGTTTTACCAACTGTACCGCCGCTCACCCGTGAGCAAAAAGAGACACACAGATACAAAGCGCTCACACAGACGCGCATACAGACACTCAGGACGCACAGTATGCAGTGTTTGTGTGTGTTGTATTGCGTGTTAGCGTGCTGTGCTTCTACCACCGGTGACCCGAGTTTCATTGCAGCCTCAAATGAGTACCTAGCGTGGTGTGTCAACATCGCCACTGGGGAGACAAAGGTGGTCGGGCGTGGTGCTGGCCATCCACCCCCTCGTGTACCATTCCGGCCTTCATAGGTGCTCACAAACAACACTTGCCCCAGCAGTCTGTGAAGGCTATGCGAGGGATCTTTGTCTCTGTACGGCACATTGGGAACCTACGGATGAAATGCGCCATACAAATGTAAATTATGATAACACCTGGGTCTGCCCCGTAACCTCCCCGTCAGCGAGCTTTCGACAATTCACATGGCCTCAAGCAAGGTGCACCTAGCCTGGCACAAGCGCTGCGGTGACGCCACCCCGCCACTTAGTGGCGAATGGCGGCGGCTGCTGCCGTTGTTGGTGCGTGTGTGTGCGCCACACGCATTAAACGCTCCCGTGGGGGCCAGTGCACTTGGATGAGACACCCTTGAAGCGACCACCACCACCAACCAGCTGCCCCTCCCCCACGCTTTCCGACAGGTGCGCGTGCCTCGCCGCCTGCCGTACTTCGCCACCTTCACAGTACCCCCCTCCCCACCACCGGCCCACCCCACCTCTACCGAATGCGGATTAATTTTTCCCGAGAGCCCCGCGGTGTTGTTCACATAACTTTCTCGTGCCGCGCAAACGACGCAGAGTTAAAGCTCGGTTATTACTCATTGCTCCGTTATTCCTCTTCATTGTCATTGTTATCGGCCGGGTGGCAGCCGGTGGTGGTGGCTGTGCGCGTGGCTGCTTGTCATCCAGCGTTGTGGAGGCAGCAGCAGCGGGGGTTGGTGGATCACCGCACAGATGTTGTGAAACTTCCTTCCCGTGGGCGCCGAGGAAGAGCCGTATCCTGGCTCGCCAGGAGATTGGACTAGAGTGTTGCCCCCTCGCACGTGTGGGTTTTCTCCGGGTGCTCCGATTACCTCCCACATGGAAACACTCGTTAATTGGCCGATAACACCTTAATTTATAGTGGACCGTGGAGCTTGGGCAATTGTTGGACCCCGGCCGCTGCTTTCCCGCTCATCCGTGGTTCTCCCTCGTGCCCCGAGCGCACGCTATCCTCGAGTGAACGAACCCTGCGTGGCGTCGCGTCACAAGTTGACAACGCCGCCATCGTCCTTCCCACCAGGAAACAGAACTCCAAGAAGGAGGCGGAGGAGAAGAAGCCACACATCAAGAAACCGCTCAACGCGTTCATGCTCTTCATGAAGGAGATGAGGGCCAAGGTGATCGCCGAGTGCACGCTCAAGGAGAGCGCCGCCATCAACCAGATCCTGGGCCGCCGGGTACGTGACACCACCGGCAGCCACCGCCCCACGCGCCGCCCCACGCGCCGCCCCACGCGCCGCTCACGCTCGCCCCGTCGCCACGGCCATTGTGCCATGGCCCGCGGGCCAGAGGGGCCAAGCAGAAGATTTGGGCGGTGGAGGGGTTGGGGGGGTTCCCATTTTATATTCCTTGCACCAGGGCACATGCCAGCCGTGCTTCGCCATTCACCACCGTGTTTGTACGGCGAGTCTAAGCCGAATCTCAAAGTACGTCGTTTGTGCGTGTGTGTTGTGTCCTATGTGTGGGCTGTGTGCTTTGCGTGCGTTTGCTTACCATGTGCCGATCATCAGTGGCACGCCCTCTCACGAGAGGAGCAGGCCAAGTACTACGAGCTGGCGCGCAAGGAGAGGCAGCTCCACAGCCAGCTGTACCCTGGCTGGTCCGCGCGAGACAACTACGTGAGTATGCGCAGTGCACGTAGCCCAGACTGGAGAAAGGGTGGCCTAGTGGTGGCCTCATGGTGGCCTAGAGGTGGCCTAGAGGTGGCATCAAAGTAGCCTAGTGGTGGACTCGAGGTGGCTTAGTGGTGGCCAAGAGTTGAACTCGTGGTAGGCTAGTGGTGGCCTCGTGATGGCCTAGTGGTGACCTAGTGGTGGCCTGGTGGTGGCCTAGTGATGGCCTAGTGGTGGCCTAGTGGTGGCCTAGTGGTGGCCTAGTGATGGCCTGGTGGCCTAATGGTGGCCTAGTGGTGGCCTAGTGATGGCCTAGTGATGGCCTGGTGGTCGCCTAGTGGTGGCCTAGTGGTGGCCTGGTGGTGGCCTAGTGGTGGCCTAGTGGTAAGTTTACTTGACACTGAACCGCATCGAGCATTGTCCGCACACTTCGAATCCCACCGGTGCCCAATTTATTTCTGTGAATAATCTAATTATATGGGCATCAATTATTAACCGCCCTGCTAAAAATGTAGCGGTAGCCAGCCTGCGTTTGGCTCAAGAGATGCATTTTAATGAGATGCTGTGTCTTCAGAGTGTGCAGACTTCTGTCGCATGCAATGATTGCATCTTCAGCCCCGGCCCAGAGCCACACTTGGCCGCGAGGCAAATTGAGGCATCGTCTGTGACGCCAGCGTTGCTCGGCCTCGTTCTGGCGCGGCATGGAAATAAGCTTGCAGTGGAAAAACCACCAGTACCACGAGAGCCCGGCGCCAGTGCGGCGGCTCGGATGTGCCATCGGAAAAGGAGTTATAGGGTAGAACTTGTGCCTTGGGGGAGACAGCCCAATTCCAAACCCTCCTCCCCCCCCCCCACGGTGCTCAGGCAGGCCAGGTGAGGTGCGGTCTTCAGGTGAGTGTGCCGAGCCAGTGTGGCAGCAACCGTGAGTTCGGTGTGGTGAGTGTGGTGACTTTAAGACCACTGGTTTTCACCAGGGCAAGAAGAAGAAAAGAAAAAGGGAGAAGCAGCCTGCTGAGCAGCCAGCCGTGATTGGTGAGTGATTCTCGTACAGTTTTGTCCGCTCACCACCCCCCCTCACCACCCCCCTCCCCCCCACGATAATCGACTTGATTCTCGAACGATCGTAAAGGAAAGTGACCGACGATGCAGAGAAGCCACCACCTACTGGTTCAGCGGCGACATTGGCCCTTCGGGGGAGAAAAAAGAACGGCGCGTTAATCGACAGCAAAAAAGCCTGTTTGCGGTGTTCACATTTAAGGACCCGGCGACATTAACACATTAACAATTTGCATCGATGAGATTGAGAAACGGCATTAATGTAAAAAAAATACCAATTGAAGGTAATTCTTAAAAACCGTGAGGTCGTTATCTGCCGTGGAAGGGCGCTTGACCACGCGCGCGCACGTTTTAACGCCTCTTGGTCCGCAGTTAAAACGACGCCGAGTGGGCGAACGCCTTCACCGAGCGCTGTCAATCAAAAACTCAGCCCCTTTTTTTTTGCTTTGGCTGTGACCGGGGCAAATCGGAATATGCGGAAGCGCTTACTTCATTTAACTAAGTTGTGTTTATTTTTTCAATAATTGCGGAAATTTAACAACAGAAGCTTGTTTGAGAAGGTACCTGGGCGTGTGATGCTGCTAAGGAACTGCAAAATAAACAGAAATTTCGAGAGAGGAAATTGGCGCTTCCGTGCATTTCTAGCGGGCCCCGGCCGTGAAGAGTGCTCTTTGTAAATCGCTGGATAAATTCTTGACGTGTAAATTAATTCTTATTCGATTCTCTAATATAATTCTAATTTCTAATCAATTCTGAACGAATCCCAATCATTTTTTTTTTAAGTCTGTGCTTGGTTTTGATTTTTCACTCGAAGTTTTTCCTAACGTTTTTAACGCTCGCTGGTTTGTGTTTGTTTTTATATTTCATTTTAAAAAAGCCTTAAAAATAAACGCGACAAATTTGGCTTTAAAGAATGTACGCGGCTTGCGCTCCCGCGAATGGCTCGAGGCCGCCACCGCCGCTCACATCGGGCCGCGTGCCGCAGAGACGCCGCAGAGGGTCTCTCGCTCCAAGCCTCCGTTTGCGAAACAAAAGTGCAAGCGACCCCGCCCCCCGCACTCCACCCCCAAGGGAAATGACACGACGTTCCGAAGCAATTAAACGCGATCACTTTGCCAAATTGCTAATTACGTGACAACAAAAACCACGAAGCAAAGTAATTCTGAAAAAGTGACATTCTTCTGATTTATCCGCGGTGGGTTTGCTTCGCGGAGTTGTTGTGGATGCTGCCCTGTCACTTGCATGCCGAGTGTCCCAAAGGCTGCATGAACAACGTCTTGCTTGCTGAGCATGGACCTGCCTGCGTCTCCCTTCCCCTCCTTCCTCCTCCACCGCCTCCTCCTCCTTCTGCCGCCACTGCTGCTGCTGTGTTGTTGTTTTTTTGACGCACGCTCCCAACCCCGCTCGGGGTGCGTCTACCCTGACAGTGGCAGACAGTGAACGAGAACCCTGGCCCATAAGAGAGAGGAGAGAAAAATGAACATTTTTTTGATAATTAAATGAATAAAAAATAAAAGGACGTGCAGGACCACTCCGTGGTGCCAGTGCTGCCTGACCGTTGTCGCTCACCCGCGATCACGACGCACTGGTGCGGCGTTTGAGCCCCCTTCAGAATCGGAATCTTTATTTATGCTGGAGGAATCCGATGAGCTATAAAAAAAAATCTCTTTTTCACAGATGTCCAGTAGCTCCTGAGGTTCGTAGACGAGTTCGAGGGGTTAACGCAGTCTGGGGGGGCGGGCGAGTGGTGGGAGGGGCGGCTGTAATGTTGTTATGCCCTTCCACCTTGACACCGCCGTTGCCGCCAATAACCGTATAAATAAACGTTGTGAAACGCGTTTTGTCGTAGACGTTAATCTCAAGAGTACGTAGCGGCTGTGCAGCGCGACGAGAGGATTTGCGAGGATGGAGGCTCTGGCGCTGATATTTGCGGCGGCAGCGGCGGCTGGGCGAGTGGGGATGGCTTGAGGCATCCTTGCACTTTGAACGACAATCAGTCACGAGGCTCCGGCGGGGGTGGGGGGGAGGGAAACGTAGCGCCAGGGCCCAAACGTAACCCAATAATAATTACACAGCAATTAGCCGGTATTTCCACAATATTACACATTTATTGCTACCTTGGGACGTAAATGGCTTGATTTATTTTCATTTCATTTGCTTTTTTTTTTCGTTCAACCGTAAGTACACGCGCAACCGTTGGAATCTCGCTTCGTAGTTCTCAGCTCTTGTTTAGCCGCACGCATGTAGTTTGTGAAAAGGGCCGCCCCCCCCTCCTCCTGTTTGTTTTGTTTGGGTTAAATTCGTAACGTGGCGTTATCCTACATCGTTGCGGGGGGGTGCTGGCCGCGAGCTGGGCTGGACGGAGCAGGCGGAGCCGCGGGGGGGGGAGGAAGAGAGGGAGGCGTGGGGGGTGATGGAGAGAGGAGAGAGGGGAGCCTTGGCAGTTGAACGTTGCGGAGCGGTCGCCAAAGCCCCCAGCCCCTTTCGGCACAACGAGAACCAACAATTCGTGTCTGCCCTCCCGGCCGCAGTGTTCAGCCTTTGCATTTGAACACGCGGCCTTGTGTGAAGTGAGCCTCCCGAGAAAGACATAATTGCCTGGTGTGGGCGCGTGTGTGTACGTGCGTGCACGTGTGTGTGTGCGTGTGTATGCGTGCATGCGTGTGTTTCCATGTGTGTGCGTTTCCCCCCCCCCCCTGGTGGAACAGAGGGGACAGAGCAGAGTAACGAATTTTGCCATTAGGGGCCCTTTTGATGCTTCGTTTTTTTCTTTGAGGGTGGGAATGCGGTACTCCTCTAGACGGGAGGAGAGGAGTTCAACTTTTAATAGTTATACACTTTTTACCTTAATTTACGGTCAAAGCCACATTTTAGCCTATTTTAAATCGACACGCAGCAGCTCTCCAGCATGTGTTTAACGGCCAAGTCAGCCGAGAACAGGGGACGACACGGTGAGCCCACGTTCGCGTTAGGGACCGCGTTTGCTGCTCGAGCAGAGACGGTGGACTTACGGAAGCCCCGAGAGAGAGAGGCGGGAGGAGAGGGGTTTGGCTCACTTAGTGGACTGGCTTGGCCCAGCTTGTTGCTTCCTGTTATCCCTCACACCTCCTCCTTGCCTTCACGCCGTCTCCCCCCTCAGAGCAAGAATCCGCTAAGAAATGCCGAGCTCGCTACGGGGTTGACCAGCAGAATAACTGGTGTAGCCCTTGCAGGTGTGTATCGCCACTTCTGCAGCCACCTTTCCCCCCCGCCCCGCCCCACCCCCGCCCCACCCCTGCCCCACCCCTCCCCCCCCCACCCCCTGTCGCACGCCACGTTTCGTCGCAAAACAAAAACGAACGTCGACCAAAATGAGTAAACGGATAAAGGTTAGCCCAAACGTGTAGCGTGATGTTGCCTGATGTCGCGCGCGCCCCTGCGGCTGGTCTGAACGCCTCGCGCGCAAACACCGTCTTTTGGTCGGGAAGAACTCAATGGCTCAATGGGACGATTTTTCTGTGTGAGTGTTTTTTTTTAATGCTTATTGATTATTATTTGGCTGAAATACGAATTGGCGGCTGTTGGTTTTTTCGCGCCTTGTAATGAGAACTGCGGCCCACTACCTGCTCTGGCGTACGAGTAAAATAGAATGTGTTGCCCATCCCACGACTCGCCGCTGGCAAACACCAACGTGCATAATACACGTCCGAGACCTTGGGTCCACGATAGAGAGGCGGAAATGATGTTGAACTTCAGACACCGCCGCCCCCTTTCGAACGAGTTGGGATCGTGAGCAAACAAGAAGGCAACGATTGCTTAATGTGTCCGACCTCGTGACCTCTTGGCGTGGTTCTTGTTGGCGGAGGCACACTTTGGCGCTCATTGTCAACACGGCCAGGTTGATAGCAGCTGCTCATGACGAAGGAAAACGGACGTTTTTATTGCGTGTGCCTTATGACAACGATAAAAGCAGCTCCGAACATTGTCATGAAATTGCCTGGAACTGCTATGTAATCACTTATCGGTTCCAGGATATTGGTGGTGGTGTGTGACAAGCCAAAGGTGAAATACTTATTAAATGTAAATAATTAAACCGAATGTTTAATGCGCCATGAAGGTGATCGGTAGACCATCACTGGTCAGTCACGTTGCCAATCGGGGATTGCACAATATTTGTGACGTCCAAACTGAACCCCCGTCACCCTTTTGGTCTTTGTGTGACGACGCCCAACCGGAGGTTGTTAGTGGGCAAAATAGGTGTCAAGTGACTGGGTCGTGTGAATAATTGGAGGAACGGACCGTCGATTACACCGCCATCACGTACCTTGTGACTCGCCGCGTCTCAAACGAGACCTTAGTCAGTCAAAAAAAACACACACACAGATAACAAAAATACATTCCGTTTTGAGGTTGATTGTTTCTTGACGGTGTTGTAAGGCATTGAGACCATCCGAGCCAGCTTCACCATTTGCCGGCCGGCGGTTCTAACGGAGACGGGCGTACGTAGATCAACGTCTTGCCTGCTGGTTGCGCTCGTGCGATGGAGCCACGTGGTGGCACGCACCGCGCGACACGCGGGCGGGCAGGCGGGACAGAGTCGCGTACTCCTCTCCGCGTCTCCCTTCCCCCCCCCCTCCCTCTCCGCTTGCCTGCCTCTAACACCTCCCGTTATTAGAGAACGCCTCTCACCCATTGAACATGCTACCGCGACACGTGCCGTTGGAAACTCTGGAAGGTACATGTTTAAAGAGGATTCGAGAGAAAAAAAGATCCTGCCGATGTTACTAACCTAACCCCTCTCCAACCCCCCTGCCCCCCTGTTTTCTCGTTTACCTGTTTGGCTCTCTGGACCTGGTGGTTTGTCAACGTTGGCTTGGGGTGGCTGCGGTGGTCTCGTTTTGGTGCCCTCGCCCCCTCCCGAGGTCGCACTCTGCGTCTCGATCTCCCCAATTAAACAAAGCGGCGCGCCGAGGGGGGTGGAACTTCACGAGCGTGCGGTGTCCCCTGCCTCAAAGCTCCTGCTACGTTCTTTTTGCAAGAGAAAGCACGTTGAGAGAGACGAATACTTATATTTTAAGTGTAATCTTGACGTGTCGAATCCCCAAAACGAAGATTATATCCGTTTGTTATATTCATTTTGGGTGAATTTCTGCAGTCGGTGCGTTCGCGCAGACCGTTAAGTTTGCAGAACATTTGGCTGCTACGGGAGCGCGCCCTGGCTGCCGACTCTTGCAAAGTCCCGCTGGTCTTTTAAGTGCAACGGAAACGAGGCTTGCTTTTGAGGATGCAGCAGCAACAACACGGCAACATTGGGACACATTAGGGGGCGGGGGTGATGCATTGGACAAGTCCTCAAAGGAGCTTGTTTCAGAATGGGATTGACGCTGGTGCAGGAACGCTTAAGCCATCGCCACAGCGTAGGTTCCGCGGTCGTGCTGTGCGCACAGCTGTCTCGGTGCGTTTACGGGGGGGGGTTGTAACCGCGCGTGTTGTCCGGCACGACGTCCGATGTTTCGCTCCATGCGCTGGCAGCTGGTGACTTTATACGATTGTCGAGGGAGAGAGTTTGGCCGCTTCCGTTCGGTTTCACGAAGAAAAACTCCCGGCACGCAGCGCGAAACGTCGAAGGTCGTGCCGAACGAAAAACGAGCGGTACGACATCGGAGAAGTTAATTAATCACTGCTTGCAGTTGTCAATCAGTCAGTCTGCTGCTGCTGCTGCTGCAGGAGTCATTTACGAGAGCGCTCTGTGGCGAATGCATTACAATGTCGGGTTTCTTGCCCACGGACGTGGGAGTAGAATTACTCGGGCAGGTTTTTTTTTGCCTCGAAGTTTCCCCATGTCAGGTGTGACCCGTGGAATTGAGGTGAATGTCGGGGAGACATATCGCTCGCCCCAGCCGCTCGTTCGCCAAGCAAGCCTCCCCTGCTGGGAGCGACTCGGGCTCGCCGAAGGAAAATGGCGCTCTTTATTGAAAGAAAAATCAAGGCTCGGCTTTCACGCAACCGCAGTTAAAGAGAGGTCATTTCTGCTCAGTAAACAAGCGCGGGCCTTGAAACTAAACGATTCAGCTTAGATTTAGGAGTTATTTATAGAGAACTTCCCCCCACTCACCCCCGCCCTGCCGTCTCCTCCATGAGCACATTTCACGTAATTCGATCTAAGTGAGTCAAAATGTACTCCATAAAACTCGCTTTGCTCGCGCGCGTAGGTGCTGGTTTCTTTTTTAATGGCGTCTTTACTCCGTGGTAAAAAAAAAAAAACCCGGGGGGGTGGGGGGGAAGCACGAGTGGTGGTGAAGTGCGGCTGGTAAATAACGTGGAGAGAGCGAGAGCGTGCACCATCGGTCATCGGTGCCCTCGGATGGTTTGCGTGGGTAAGAGGTGCAGGCAGCTGAGACGGACAGACGTCGAGACGAAGAGAGGGACAGAGAGAGGGACAGACTTCGCGTCTCGCAAAAGCCAGCGAGCTCGTAACGCTGCCAGAGTTGCGCGCCGTTCTGAATTATTCCTCAAGTTGAACCTACCGGCATAGCCAACCGTAACACTATTAATGAATATGCTACGCACGTAAAAAAAATTCGACTTTCCCGAGCGGTTAGTGATTAAAATTTCATCCTACTTGGAAAAAAATAAGTTTGGTTCACAAAGACCACTTCGTTCGATGGTTTTCTTTTCACCATTTTCGTCTCCGTGCTGGTAACGTAAAGAGTACGGTAGGTAAAGTGAACTTCTAACTCGCGCTGCTTGCAAGTCCACATGCCGTTAGAACATCGTCCATTAAAAATAAAACTAGCATCGCTACATTTCCTCGGAACAAATGTCCTCTCTTTCCCTTTTTTAATAAGCGGACGTTTTATCAGATGCAGTTGTAATAGCAGCAATCTGCTCGCCTTGGCCGCTAATGACTGCCGCGTGTACGATGAGCAAAGCGGTGGCGGGACAAATACTCAAAGCAGCGACGCTGCAGAGGCCGTGCAGGGTCGCATTAAAGAGGCCATTTTTGACCGATAACATTAAGAGATCGACATTAACTTTTTTTTTAAGCTTTAAGGATCATAAATATTTGCCTCGTGAGTTATTTTTTTTGACGAATATTTAATTCCGCCCCCCACCCCCCCCCTAAAACAATAAACTCAGACCTTGCGTGGAGTTATTAAAGCTAGACTCCGGCCGGCCATTACTTTGTTGGTGTTGAAGTAGCCTTTTTGGCTATTACATTTTCCTCATGTTTAAATGTTTTGTTATTGACATGTTGCTCACAGCACCGCTGGTTAAAGAGCCGTCCTATTCACGTTGTCTTTAATCTATTGACAGTAAGTGCAGTTCTTGTTGGCTCGACCCGACTCGTCGTACACTACAACGTCCTGCATATGAACGCTCTTTCTTTTTACAAGGAAAGAACACGATTAACTGGGATTTTCACAGTCAGCCACCCCAGCCACGTTCTCTCACTGCCAAAGGTCGCGTTCGGTCCTTCCTAATGCTCTGACTTTTTTTTCCCTGGGTGCATGTCCACAGTTACTGACTTCCTTTGCCCCTCCCCCCGCCCGTCTCTCCTGTGCCTGTGTCTCTTCCCCCCTTTTTTGGCTATGCGGCAGTCTGTAATGAGGATAATTAGCCTGTGGTAGGTACTCGCTCGATTACCGAACCTTCTTTGTCCTTCTCTGTGCCTCCTTCGTCCGTGTCCCTTGCACCCGATAACCCCCCCCCCACCCCTCCCCCGCATGCGTTAACCGGCTCTCGCGCGTCGCCGTCCACCGCCAGCCAGTGGGCTCTCACGCGCGCGTTAACACTGCCGGTTCCCCTCGTTCTCGGCAGCAATGGCTAGGCCACATCCACCACCAGCGACGGTGGTGCAGCAGGTAAACGAGGGTGTTCCCGCCGCCGCGTTTTAACGTTGAACGGAGTGTGCGTTTGTGCGTTTGTGTGTGTGTGTGCGCACGCGCGCACGCGATTGCCTTGCGTCGGTTGTGTGCCAAACATTGCCCTGAGCCCGTTTCGCCCTCAGTGATGTCACCGCCCAGGGTGCTTGGCTTGCAGACGCCTCCCGTCCAGCCACTGGCCAGGCTCAACTTTTCTTAGCTTCCGAGATCAAGTGAGGGCACTCTTAAAAAAATTCAACTACTAACAAAAAAGCAATGCTTGTATATATTCTGTTCTATGAAAGTGGTTACAGTAATTTTAAAAGGAGTGGCTTCTTTTTGCATTGCACATAAAAAAAACCATTTTAGTCTTTGTTCAAACAATACTGTACAGAGACATCTCCCCCCATGTCCTTCCTGGTCATGGGGGTCCGACTCTACTTCACCACGCTGGTCAGTGCGAGTTGGTGAAGGAGAGGGTTGGGGGGGTCACCCAGAACCGGTTGAGACACTGATGTTAGCCGTGGCACATACGCGTGCTTGATTAAAAGGGACATAAACGAGTTTGGGCACGTGGGTCATTCATTTCGATTTTCATCTCGCGAGCATTGTTGGCTAAGGGGACCGTGAGCCATTGCACCAACTGACGAGCACACATCCGGCCAAGCGACACGCAACCTTCCGGAAGACGAGTGATGTTAAAACAGCGTCCGCTTATTTTATCAAGCGCGATTGTTTCAATTGTTTCCACCCATCCCCGCTCCCTCGCTGGAGCCGTTTGACCCATTGCCGACTCACGAGCAGCTTCGTATGAGCCAAAGGGCCACCACGACAGCTGTGGAGTCGACATCGATCGCTCCACACGCCATCGTCCTCCGCGCTGATTCGTCTTCTCGGCGAGCGCTTCCAACTCGTCAGGGACCGTCACATTCAGCTCGGCAATGTTTGGCATCACACCTTCATTCGCCTCAACCTAAACTTTTTAAATTAGGTCGATTATTATTGTTTTCTCACTTTTACAAATTATGTTTCAGTCCCGTTGTTGTTCACCAGAAGGGTCTGGTGATAATAATTTTATTAAAGCAATACCGTAATCTCCGGATTGTGAGATGCACTGTTAAACTTAACTTGCTAAACAGGCAGCAAACCTGGACATGGTGTTGGTGAAGTCACCCCCAACTTTAGCTTGGAGGGAGAGAGGGTGGGGGGGGGATGTGCATCATATAATCCGGAGAATACAGCAAATGTTTAATTTGCAATGTGTAAGAAATAAAGGATTGTAAAACGAGGCTCAAAGCTCGCACCATATTGACATCTGGTTGCCATTTTGAGCGCTATCTGGTGCGGCGAGTCGGTCCGCAGGCATTCCCTTACCCGGGAGAGGCCGGTCACGCCGAACATTGCTGCCAGGTTACAGGGAACTCGAGTTGTAGCCCGCGGCGGTGCGTTGCTCGTCGCGCACCCCCCCCCCCCCCCATCGTACTCCCCCATCCTCACCCCCACTTTACATCCCATTCCGTTCTTCGACAAGTGCAGGGAGGGAAAAAGACGGATTACGCGTGGCGAATTGCCAGAGGCCCTCGTTCCACGTAAAGAGTCTCAAAACGTCGCAAAAAGAACCGACCCAAAGCAAGACGCGCACACGCTTTGCGTCACGAGTTAAAACGATCGCTCAGGTCTCTGTGTGACGTGGCGCTCCTGCCACCGCCAGTCCCCCCCCCGGTCCCCCAACCGACCGTCCCGCGCGCACGAGACGTTGGTCCCAACGCTCGCCCGCCAAACGGGGTCCACGTTCCGTGCCGCGACGGCCCGATTGGCATTCTCGCCGGTCGTAAACTCTTGAACTTCATGGGCGCCGTGGGGACCCTCGCTCAGTTGATTTATTCAAGCGCCACTCCGACTTCTGCCCCGTTCGCGAACGGTGACGGTGAATCGAGATCTCTCGTGGTCACGCGTTTTATTGCCGTGCGCGACATACGCGTCGTGTACGGCGCAGCCGGTTCTTTGCAGTAAATGAATTGACATTTCATTCCAAACAAAACTAAATCCCGATTTGCTGCTGCTGCAATATTTACGTTAGGCACTGCACTCTACAATATAGCGATGCCCAGCGTTAGTTTAGCGTCGTGTTAACGTTGCTGCATTGGCCAACGTACCTACCTACGAAAGTGGCACAGTTACTGCTGACAAAGCATGCTACGCAAGTAAACAGCTACAAAGCAGTTGTTAACTGGATACATTTAATTCTGATATTGCAGAAATAATATCAATTCCTGTTTAACTTGGCAGCTTATTGAATGTCAGTTAGCTTATTTTTACATTGATGTCTATGGGGAGCATAATGCGCTGTCGGTAACGTGATTATGCATCGTCAGAGTTTTTATTTAAAGACGAGGAGTGTGCCTTGTTCAGGTTCAGAGCTCCAAAGCATTGGCCCAATTGTAACAAACATAAAAACGTTCATGTCGTATTGAATACTAAAATTTATACCTGCAAATTATATTCATTGGCAATAATACAAATTATTTCATTTCAACTTGTAGATTTCACTTCACAAACTCCCGCTCATATGCCGAGTCGCTGCCATTCGCATATTCACTTTCGTGTCGTTCATGTGTCGCGTTGTGTACACCTTGAGGACAAATTCAAGGGCACTAAAGCTGACGGCTAAAGCACTAAAACATTGGGCCACCTAAACTGGTCTGGCAGTCAAGGCTTGCCGGGCAAAATCCTCGATTTCACCGTCTGTGCCAAGTCCCTTGCATTTTTTCCCCTGTTCATTTTGTCAGACACAGAGCGCACACTTCAATACTGCGGGTGAACTATGTAGCTGCTTGTTGCGTCCGCGCGTTGCAGAGCAGTGCATCACCTGTACGGTGATTACCTGTACGGTGATTCTCGGGCCCGCTGCTGCCATTCGAGGCACTGCCGGCCCCACACACCGTACACAGGTGTTGCACTGCCCGGCCGCCAGATGTCCAACAAATGAAATGTTGTCCGAGACGTCGTAACGCTTGATTGGATCGCGTCGACCGCCTGATCTGTGCCATTAGTGACTCTGCGCTTTATTCACAGATAACTGTTTGCCTGTTTTCAGGAGGAAAAAGAAGTGTGCTCGCTACCCATACGACGATGACAGCTGTGCCAGCAATAACTCTTCTGACGAAAGCATGACCGACTCGCTCCCCGGCTCGCCGGCGCGCTGCCTGTCGCGCGGGCGCCTCCACCCCGGCCCGGCGAGCGCCGGCGACCACCCACACCACTCCCCAGCCACCTCCACCGCCGCCGCCGCTGCTTCGTCATCCCAGCGAGACAGAGACCCGCGGGATCTCCCGCAGCCGGACTCGGCCCCCAAGGAGAGCCACGGCCCGCAGCAAGCCGAGCGCCACGGCTTCGAGCAGGTCCGCTCGCCCGCGCACTCCCACCCGCTGTACGGGCCGCCGCCGTTGCTCCCGCCGTCCCACGACCACTCGAACCACCACCAGAGCGCCGGCCCGGACCCCTCGCGCCTGGATTACCTGCGCTTCGAGCGGCCCGCGGTGCCGGAAGCGAGCCGGAGCCCGATGGCGCGGCGCGCCGACAAGCCGATCCACCACCACGCGGAGCCGTGCCAGCTGCCGCCGCCGCCGCCGCGCTCGGACTTTGCGTGCGGCGAGCCCGGCCAGAAGCCGACGTCGGATAAAAAGCAGCGGCCCTCGCACGCGGAAGCCGGCGCGCCGGCGCGCACGGAGGACGGCGCTCAGCAGCAGTCGGAGCGCCCGGGCAACGCCCCGGCTCACGGCAGGCACTCCCAGCACCACAAACGCGATCACGCCGCGCCCCCGCAGATGAGCCCCTTCGAGCAGACGCGGGCGCCCAGCAAGGACAGCCCGACGCACGCCGGCGCTCAGAAGTCGGCGCCCTCCTGCTCATCCGACTACAAGCGCCCGGGGCAGCCCTACGCGGAGCACTCGCACGCCGCCCACCCCAAGTCGCCGCGGCTCGACCCCGCGCACGCGCCGCCGCCGCCGCCTCTCGCCGCCAAGCCGGAGATGTTCTCCCCTTCCTTCCCGCTGCCCATGCTCGGCCCGCGGATGATACCCGGCGCTACCTCGCTCCCCTCCGCGCCGCCGCCGCACGGGGGCCTCGGCCGCCCCCTCGCGCAGCCGGCCGCGGGCCTGCCCTTCTCGGCCCCGTCGCCGTTCTCACCGAGCGGCTCCCTGTCCTACTCGCCGACGCAGCACGTGCCGCCCTCCTCCGCGATCGCCTTCCCCCCGTCGCACTTCGCGCTGCAGTTCCACCACGCCATGCTCCTGGCACAGGCGCAGCCGCTGTCTTTGGTCACCAAGCCCAGCAAGTGACGGCGCCGCCTAGGGCCCCCGTGACGACGCCACCCTCCGCAAGTCCCTCGCCCATCCCCACCCCCCACGCCACTCGCGGCAACCGTGGTGCCGGCCGGCCCTGAGCACACCAGCCCCCCCCCACCCCAAGTCGGTACCGATCCCCTTGCTCACTCCAGACCTAGAGCCACTTCCTTACTCACTCCAGCCTCTGCGCCAAGTCCACAGACACAAAACTGCTGGTCAATATTTGACTTTTTGCTTCGCAATTTCTGAGGTCCTTTTCGTGTGTAATCATGCATTTTATGAAAACATTTTATAAAACATGTTCCACAGCGACTATAGAAGATATGTTTACCTGATTTCTACATGTATGATATTATTTCCTTTTTGGATCGTTGGGTGTTTAGCTTTTAAAATACAAAATTTTAAAAAGTTTCAACGTAAACTTGATCCGTTTGTTTTTATTATTTTTTTAATTGAAGACTTCCAGCGCAGGAGACCTTGAGTGGAAGGTGGTTATTTTTGATATGTATTTTGTGCCGACGTTAAAGCCAAGTCATTGTACATTGGTTAGAAATGTATGTGTGTGCGTGCGTGACTCTGTCAAGCTCCACCTTATTTTGGCTTTTGTAATATGTAAGCACCCATTTCCTCTCAAGTTGTTAGCTTAACGTCTCATGGCAGTGAACACCTGCACCGTTTGTAGCTACTATGTATTTATTAACCTTGCTTGATGGTAACAATTTAGCTTTTATTTTATTTGTTTCAATCGTTATTGCATTTGTTATATTTTGTACGCTTGTTTTGGAGAGCGAGAGAGAGAGCGATCGTGCGAGAGAGAGAGAGAAGAATTATTCTGTGGCCAAATCTATAAAATTTTAAAAGTGACAATTCTTTTTTTCTGGTAATAAGTGCATTGTTGTCACATAAAAAATATATTGGGGGGGGGGGGGGGGAGATGGGGCGGGGGGACGAGGAGAGAGACGATGTTTAGTACAAGTTTTGAATTGTTTTGGTGGAATTGCATTTTAACACATTGTACATTCTATGGGTAAACTTTGACAACGTGTGTCGAGATGTGTAATTTGCTGTTGACGGGAGAGAATAGGACATGAGCACAGAATTCAACCACAGAAGAGAAACCAACCACACGAACTTGCGATCCGTACGCGGATTATAAAAAAAGTTGAAACGCCACCTTGTTAATATTTGCTGTTTAAAAAAATGCTTTGAGAGTTTCCTCGTTGAGGTTTTGTAATTTGCTTATTCTGTACATGTCTGTAGCATGCTTTTTTCTCCAAAAATAAAAAAAAAACACTCATTCTGTTTTTTTTTTACCCTCAGTATTTTTTTCCTGAAATCTTTTAGATGCACGAGTCGCTTTTAACTCAACATAAATTAAACGTGCGTGTGTACGTGGCGAATGAGAGCACGTTGGTGAAGGTTCTGTCTCCAGAGCATAACGAAGACCCTCCGTATAGCTCTTAACGGATCGTTGGGGGTGGATGCTGTGAACGATCGCATATGAAGGCCAGCAAGGCACACGAGGGAGCGGGTGGACAACAACCACGCCCGACCGCCTTTGTTTCCCCCGCGGCAATGTTTACATACCACACCTTGTATTAATTTAAGGCCTGGGACAGGTTTATATTCGCCGCTGTTATTGGCCGTGAGCAAGAACTGAACTCGGATTAGATCGTGTTAATGTGTCGTGGAAAGAGAATCAGAATCTTTATACTGGAGAAAGCCGCTGAGCTGTGAAGCTATTTTTTCATAAATGTCCAGTAAGGGGGGGGGGGGGGTCAGAAAGTTACGACAACAACAATACAAAAACACCATAGGAGTGCAAAGTATAGGTAAGGTAAGCAAATCACGGACAAAAAAATAAGATTTACCAGGTAAGGCCCGCAGAGTTATACAGCTCTTTTTCTTATGTGACCTGGCCATAAGTGATAGCCTAATGAAGTGCCTTCACGTGGAAATCTAAAGCAGTCAAAATACCTTAAACGCATGTTAAATGTGGAGGGAAAAACCGGAGGACCTGGAGAAAAATCCATGCGACCGCATGGATTGAACGCACGACCTCCTGCATGCCAGGCAAGGGAGTTAATATCATTGTTAAGTTATGAAGTATTTATAGTGAGAAATTATAAGTTATGAAAGCTGGCAACGCATCCTCATTACCGATGTTATAATGTATTCAAGATACGAATTTTTGAACGAATCTCCAGGAATGCATCTGCTTCGTATATCGATGTATTAGTGCACATTTATAAAATGAACTGCACACATTAAAACGTGATGTAAAATTGCAAAACTGCACTAACCACTGCTGTCAGAAGGATCTCCAATGAAAGTCAAATTTGCTAACCATTGCACCATGGTAGCGTTATCCCTACCTAATGTCAAAATAATCTGTAGACATTAAAATGCAGCCAATAAAAAAGTGTTACTTTCGAAGATCTGAAGGGAGAAAAAAACATCGTGATTGTGATGTTGATGATATTTGCAAAATCAATCAAACTTTATTTCTGTAAAGGCGCCTTTCTTAAAACCAAGACCCCCGTAAATAAAAGGATCGTCCGTTAAACATGTGAACATGTAGACATGTGAACTTGTAAACATGTGAACCCGTGCAATTAAAAATGCCATTTAGGTTGGTCTTCGACGATACATTTGTTACATTAATTTAGTTCTCATCTGTGATATGCACGATTGATCCGGGTAAACGCGAATAGAGTGCACGTTGCAAATGTTGATGTAGCGCGTTTGACTCTTTATAAATAACAATAACCTATGCATATATGTGAAACCAGCTAAGAACCAGCACGCAATGGAATGCCAGCGGGGAGGGGTTGGCGCAGTGGTGAGTGCAGTGCTCTGAAGCCAGACGCAGCCACGGTTAACATCAGCGGTGATGAATCATATCTGATCATGGGTACCCCCCCCCACCGCCAACTTCACCAACTCACACTCAGGAGGGCGGTGAAGTATGGTCAAAACATTACCCATGACCGACACGGCGCGTGGAGGGCGTCATCCAGCAGTGGATTGACAGGACTGAAGAATGAGTCGGCATGTGGGTGGGGGGGTGTGGAAAGGATCTATTTACAACTTCTTTACTTCGGCTTACATTAACAACGTCCTCTGCAGGTGAAACTCCAGGTGGATGTAGTTAAATCACACGCCGGAGTTATTTTTGTTATTCCTTTAATTATTACCAAAAAATCCACAATTACCCTAAAAATTGGTTAATGTTTAAATCTATTAGAATCAAATTTGCACTCCCACGGATTTATTTTGGCTCTGACGGATCGTGCACACTCCAAAATATATACAGCGCACACTGAAATTAAAACATACGATCATAATTTGATTTACAACATACAGCAATGCTAATGTATTTATTTTCATTTTGAGACACCCCGTGAGTTATATCCAGTCAATTCTCGATTATGCAGAATAATGCGTGGTTGTAAATGGCCAAGATAATCCACCCACGGATAATAATTATTAAGAGTTAACAGAACTGCAGTTTTTTTTCCAGTTGCAACTCCACGAAGGTGAACATTAATGAGCAGCCTGCACGTCTTTTGGATGTGACCGTCCGTCCATCCCTCCTTTCCGCCAGCCAGCAACAATTTTTTCGATTACACAGTTACAGATCCGTGGCACGAACCCGGCTCAACGCTGTGGGTGACGGCATCACGCAGACACATTGCCCGGCCGCATGCCAGTGAGCCAGCCATGAATCCGGCCAGGAACCCAGCCAGCAAAACTTTTTTTTAAGTTCTACCTAGTATGATAATTTACATTTGTAACACTATTCGCTCGCTCTCGAAGAGAGAAGACGACTCGGGTGCGGAAGGAGGAAACGCAGACTCAGCGGGAAAGGCAGCGGTCACGTGGTGAGCCGGCGCATACAAATTACCCAAGCTCTGTGGTCCTCTATATATTACGGTGTTATCGGCCAATTAATGAGCGTTTACATGTGGGAGGAAACCGGAGCACCCGAAGAAAACCCACGCGTGCAAGGGGGAAACGCTGTATCCCACTGCGCGTGCTCGGGGTAGACCAGCTATGTTCCCACAAGGCACGACAGGTGGTCAACATTTTTTGCTGCACTGCCTTCTCCTGGCAAACCCAGGGTATGACACCTCGTCGCTTGGAAGGGAGTTTTACAACATTTAAACTGGTCCTGGGCGCCCTCTTGGTCGACTTAGCCTTAAATGAGTACCTGACGCGGTGTGTGCCGGGCGTGGTGTTGGTCACCCATCTCCCCCTGTGCCGTATCAGCATTTAGGTGCTCGCTAACAGCACTTGCCCCAACAGTCTGCGGAAGGCTATGCGGGGGATCTTTGCCTTTATGTGCTACATTGGCTGCTGTACAGCAGACCAAGGCCATGCGGTCTTCTGTAAAGACAAAGATCCTCCCTATAGCCTTAACAGACTCTTGGGGCAAGTGTTGTTAGAGAGCACCTATGAAGGCCAACACGGCACATGAGGGGGTGGGGGTAGCCAGCAACCACGCCCGGCCAACTTTGTCTCCCCAGCGCAGATGCTTACACACCGCACCGAGTACTACTTTGAGTCCGAGTCGACCGAGGGGAGGGCCCAGGATCGGCCACCTCGCGAATACCGCGCAGCAACTCGCGAACGACGAGGCCACACGTGCCGCGCCTCGCGAACCACGAGGGCAAGCCGCTGCAGCGTCATCGAGCTCCCTTGCCTCAGTCCCCGCAGTCCGCATGAGGTGGCATGAATCCTCGCTTATCACTCTGGTGGCTTCCTAGGCCTGATCGTCGGGCACCTTGGGGGTGATTTGGCCATAGGCCTGGGAGCGAGTGCCAACCTTATTGCAGACTAATTCAGACCTTACTGGTCACCCCGTGCCCCTTATAAATATCAACGTCCATCCTACAGCGTCCCATCACAAGGGAGAAACGTCGTGAGAATTTTATTGCGTTATTTTATTATTTTATTCTCATTCTACGTGACTTTACCGAAAGAACCAAAGAACACAAACAAATAGACAAAACATGTTTGGCCCGTACTGAAACGGCTATACGTCGTATGAACCTGAAAACTATATTTCCCCGTACACAAGAACACGGGTAAACCTTATGGGTTGACAGCGATGTGAGTGGTAAAACTGTTCTGCATGCTCAGCTGGCCTGTGTCCATCTGCACGCAGCACACACACACACAGTCACGTTTTTTATTCCCCAAAAAAATACAACTGTAGGTTGTGTTCGTAAGGGCGGTGTGAGCACTGGATGCACATTCTTGTGTACGTCTAAGGGGAATCTTAATTCACCACACACACAAAACACTCACCATGAGCTAATACTTTCTTGTTACTAAACAAAAAAAAATACTCGACAACATTTTTTTTACAAACTGGCGCGCGCCATTCATAATCGGTGGCGAGATCCGAGTTTGGGATTTAATTGCCGGATTGAGGTCCTCAAAGCGTCACTCGCATCGGGAGTGGCGCTCTCAAACGGGGCCTTTGTTGCCGACTTGGTCATTGCTGCTCCCTCTCCCTGGGCTTGCGCCGCCCTCGGCCTCTCCCTCCGCCACCACGAACCTCCCCGCCCGTGTGGCCGCAGCACAAAGCCGCGAGTTGTAACGCCACTTACACCCCCCCTCGACATTCCCATACACCGAGCCCATGGTGGTGGTGGAGGGGGTGGTGGTGGTGGTGGACGCACTCGCGTCGACCTGCGTGCGGATCTCTCTCTCTCTCTGTCTTTATTTTAAAAGCGCCTTTTGTGTTTGACCCGGGCCCGCTGGCGCTGCGAGCCGAGCGAGGCATGCCCCTTTTGCCAAGGGGAGGCAGAGCGGAGAGGAAGGCTTCCAAGGGGGTTTTCACGAGACCTCAAAGGGCCTGTTAGCCAGAGTAAACTGTGGCCTGGGCCAATTCGGAACCCCACTGCTCCTCCGTGTGCCAGCTACCACTGCCAAGGACAACATTCACCCTCCTCCTCTGCTTGCCCCCGTGTCTCTCACCGCCGCAGGGCAACGCTACGGGGATATGATGCCAAGTCGCTGTGTGTGTGGATTGTGGGTAACGTCGCCATCTCGACAAACCCACAACAACTAAAAAACCCAGGAATACATTGTGGGAAGAAGAAGAGTACGTTGAACTTCTTTCACACCGTACGTAGCTAATCGGAGGTGCGGAGGACAAAACTAAACCCAAAAAGCAGTTCTAAAGAAATTAGTGTTCAATCTAAAATTTCAAAGTGCATCGCTCCAGTGCACGATCGGAATATCTCACAACACATCAGAGGGGGAGTGAACCACACAAATGCGTTTTCCTGAGTGGTGC